CTCATTCATTCAGTAGCCATTAATTAAAGTATAGGTTGCTCCTCTCAGTGGCCACATTTTATTCATTAGATGGGAGTAAGCTAGCCCTCTCAAAGGAAGAGATAATACAGGGTGTGAATACTAGGAGAGGGAATCTATTGTGCATGAAAGTGGACTGTAGTCTACATGTGGTAAAGATATACTTCTTCACTGCAGTATTTTATCTTGCCAGTTAGAAGCAGTTGAAGTTAGTGTCAAATTAAAAAAAAAAAAAAAAAAAAAAAAAGAATCTCGGGGTTGGAAAGATGGCTCAGCAGTTATGAGCAGTGGCTGTTCCTTCTAAAGGACTACGGTTGAGTCCTAGCACCCACATAGTGGCTCACGTCCGTCCTCCAATTCCAGGGGATCCAATGCTCTCTTCTGGACTTTGCAGCGTCAGGCATGAATGTGCTACATGGACATACTTGCAAGCACCCATACACATTAGAAAAGAAAAAAGAAAAATAAGAACCTCTAAACTTATATGAACAAAATTCCAGCTCCCTGAAGAATTCTGATTTACCAAATGTGAGATATATTCAGAATAAGCAGTTATAAAACTCCCCACTGAAAATATTTTTAAAATTGAGACAGGGTTTCTCCGTCTGTCCTGGAGCTCCCTCAGTGGCCCAGGCTAGCCTTGAACTCAGAGATCTGCCTGCTTCTGTCTCTCAAGTGCTGGATTAAAGGCGTGTACCACCATGCCTGGCTGAGATATTTTCTTTCTCCCAAGGCAGGGCTTTGTAGCCCTGGCTGTTCTGGAACTTACTCTGTAGACCAGGCTGGCCTCGAGATCCACTTGCCTCTGCCTCCCAAGGGCTGGGATTAAAGGCATGTACTACCAAGCCTGGCTTTTGTTGTTGGTAGTGGTGGTTGATACGGTTCTAGCTGAGAATTTTTACAGTTTTAAGCTTGTGTTTGTTGCAGTGTACAAAACCCTGTTTTAATTTTGATAGTGATAAGTAACTGTTTATTGCTAATATGTCCATCCCTTCATATTTCTTTCTTTACGCCTCACTAGATCGGTCTGGAATTGAAAATGTCAACTCCGTGGAGGCTTTGCAGGAAACTCTCATCCGTGCACTAAGGACCTTAATAATGAAAAACCATCCAAACGAGGCCTCCATTTTTACAAAATTACTTCTAAAGTTGCCAGATCTTCGATCTTTAAACAACATGCACTCCGAGGAACTCTTGGCCTTTAAAGTTCACCCTTAAGGTCTTTGCACATGAACTGATGCTAAATGTACATTTTATGCTGAGATGCTTATTTATATGTGTATACCATATGTGGAAGTAGAAAAGACCTTAGACAGTGCCAGGTCCTGGGCTGTCTCTGTAGTCAATAGCTGTTTGGATGAGAACTCATTGCCATGTTAGACATAGGCCCTCCCTTCCCTGTAGACCAATCAGCTGTGTTGCACTTAGACTGAAGAAGTTACACTGAATTATAATCACACTGAATGTTAGACTTTTTCATCTGCCAAAGCCAAAATACCATTTGATCTCCCTGTGGTATAAATCTAATGCACATTGCAGATCTGGAGGACTTAGACATTAACCCTTTGTGCTGGGAGTCCTGCTATACCACAAAAGTGAAATGTGGTAAGGAAGACTGGGAGCCAAGAGGTTTTATGTGCTTGGATTTTGCTCTACTACTGTCAAAAAGTGCATGGTCCTGGCAGTCCCTGGGTTGTTGAAATGATAATTGATAGTGTCCCCCATGTCCTGCCTCACAGAGATACTGAAAAATGTCCATAAAGCATCTTTACCTCTTGGGAGATAGGCAGTATGTAAATATGGTGAAGTTTTTATTATAATTGCTTATAATAATATTCTTGTCTTATTTCTAAGCATCTGGGAAACTGTTTGACAGTCCACACCAATCTATTCAGGGTTCCTGCTCAAGTGAGGTACCCTACTGATAAACATATATTCCAGGTTTATGGACACCTCAGATAGTATGTGTACATAGTGTGTATGTGAATATAATTATATATAAAATCTTACTTCACAATATTTTAAACTGTGAAGAACTTTATCATACAATACACTTAAACATGAGGTGTCAAAGACCCAAATTAGGTGCATTTTACCTGCTGCTGCTGATGTATAACCATTGCTTTATGATGTTTAGATGGTAGGATACTGAAGTTAATGCTCTATTTTTATTTAAGCAACATTTAATGTAAAAGTGTGGTGGACAGTCAAATTCAGACTTGTATTTTAGAATACGTCTTTGATAAGATCTGCAGTTGAGGGTAGTAGGTGTTTCAGAGAGTGTCGGCCTTCTGCCTTGTGTGGATGGAGGTGGTGCTGCCCTTACCTGCTGCTGGTGGTTAGCAGATTTGGATTCTAGCTGGACAGTGACGCTTTGTTTAGGGAGACCTTGTTATCCTCTTGGCATGTCTGGGCCAAGTCCATTTTTCCTTCCTTCCTTCCTCTCTCTTTCCCTCCCTCTAAATAACACTACCGGGATTTTGTCAAATTATATTTAATATAATTTGAAAACCCTTTTAGTGAATGACCTACCTACAGGCTTAGAGATCGTGGTAGGAGAGATAGCCAAAGTCGAAGATTCATGGACACCCCTCCCCTTCCTCTGGAAAGTAACAGTTGTATTTTGGGGTGAAATTACTTTTTGTGTAATGCTTGGATTATGTGAAATTGTAAAGACATTAAGAACATGCTTTACTATTTTAAGCTTGTTACTTTTGTGACATGTAAGCAGAATGCCTTATTTTTGCTACAGGATTTGAATTTCTGTGGTACAGTTAAAAGAGCTTGAAAAAGATAAACCCTTGTCAAAGAGGAAAGCTGATGGTGTGCCTGTCATACAGTAGGGACCATAACTGCTGTTTACGTTCAGTGGGTATGGCTTTCATGGGACATAAAGCTAGGTTTTGTGACTCCTTTACATGATAGCATTATCCTTTTATATTTTTTTCTAGGATAAACAGATGCATAGTTTTCTTCTATGGGAGATAGCTTTTTGAAGTAATACTGAAAACCTCAAGGATTATGTTGATTCTTCATTTTTGCCTTTTACATAAGTGTCTTTATAACATGTATGTTTAAAGCAGTTAAGTCTTTGGAAATACGTAGCCAGAGTGTTGCATTGCTTGTGAAGCTTTACTTAGGTAGGATATACATGTATACGCCGAAATATAAGCATGTACATCCACATTTTGTCTCGTAAAATTTTATTTCAATAAATTCTTCCTGTAGCAATGGAAAAAAAATCCATAGTTCATATGCCACATGTAGTACTTTTGTATTTGAAAGTAGCCCAAATATGACCAATTGTAATTATAAAATTAAACCACCAGCCTAATACAAGCACATTCTTTGATGAGTCATGGTTAAACTGTTAATAAATGACATCAGCCAGATAGGGAACTTTTGAGTCAGTAGGCCACTGCTGACGATTAATAATGGACTGTATGAATTAAGTGACTTTATGTTTCATGGTTAAAATATGGGCATTATCTCACCAGACTTAAGGGCATTATGTTAGCAAGATGAACCTTTCTTCCCCCTGTGCTTTTTCTGTGTCTTTACATGATCTGAGAGAGAGTTCTAACTTTCAGAGAATGATCCTTGAGAGACATCTTGGGATGAAGTTTGTTCTCATGATGGTTTAATTGCAAATTAAAAAATTTAACGAGTGTTTTGGTAGAGTAGTGTATGAGTTTCATATCTACATTGTAAGAAATTACCATTGTGATTGGTCAGAATTGATGTGTGTTATGTAAACCTTGCAAAGCAAAGCTGTGAGAGGAGCTCAGATAGATGTATTCCTGTGCACGAGAGCAAACACCTGTCTCAATTGTTTTTCCTCTTTTTACAATATAAAGTTTGCTGAATGTATAAAAGGTTATTGCTTTGCTCTCTGTTCCCGCAGCAGACCCAGTTCCATAGGCTTGCCCCTAAACTGCAACAGAACACTAGCTTCAGCCTCCCTTCCCCACTGTCCACACCTGCTGTGAATCCCACAGAACATCCCCTTAACCGTGGTTGTGTCGGAGCCCCCAGCTCGGGTGGACACCCCCTACTCAACCATAGGACATGCCTGCTAGAAGACCAGGTAGTCTGCTCTCAGGCCTTCTCTGTTCTCCTTGTCCCTCTAGCAGACCTAGTTTCTCAGGTTCATCTCAACTGTGGCCTCCCTTCCTCCTGGCCATACCTACTGTGAACCTCAAGGCCATCCCTTCCTGACCTCCCCAAAATAAAAACCACCTATAATCACTCAGAACTCAGATGCTTAGATGCCAGTGTAAAAACACAACAACAGCCAAGACATTTGTCTCCACCAGAGCCCAGCTATCCTATCACAGCAGGCCCTGAATATTCTAACATAGTTAAAGCACAAGGAACGATCTTACAACCATTACATGTTGTAGATAGAGGTAAAGAAATTCAGGAAAACACAAACAATTGGATGAAATGAATAAATCCCTTAAAGCCAAGAAAACAAAGTAAACAAAACTATTCAAGACCTGAAAATGGAAATAGAAGCAAACAAAAAACACAAACAAGGAATTCTGAAAATGAAAAATTTAGGAATTTGAACAGGAACTACAGAGGTAAACTTCACCAACTGAATTCAAGAGATGGAAGAAAATCTCAGGCTGCAATAGAAGATGTTGATACTTTGGACAGAGATTTTAAATCTAAAAATTTCTTGACACAGAACATCTAGAAAGTCTGGGATACCATGAAAAGACCAAACTTAAGAGTAATGGGAATAGAAGGAGAAGAATCCCAGCTCAAAGGTCCAGAAAATATTTTCAGCAAAATCATACAAGTTTACCTAACCTAAAGGAGAAAGAAGCATACAGAACACCAAGTAGATTAGACCAGAAAAGAAAGTCCCCTGACCACATAATAATTAAAAGACTGAATGTATAGAACAAGGAAAGAATATTAAAAGGTGCAAAAGAAAAAGGTCAAGTAACATATAAAGAAAGGCAGACTTATTGGAATTACACCTGACTTTAACAGAGGCTCTGAAAGCCAAAGGGCCTGGACAGATATGTGCAGACTCTTAAGAAACCACAGATGCCAGCCTAGACTGCTATACTGAGCAAGACTTGTAAATCACCATAGATGGAGAAAATAAGGTATTTATGATGAAATCAAAATTAAACAATATCTTTAAATCTAGCCCTACAGACAGTGCTAGAAGGAAAACTCTAACCTAAGGACTACACACATGAAAACACAGGAAATAATCTCACAGTGGCAAAAAAGGAAAACATACATACTGCCACCACCACCAATGAAATAACAGGAATCAACCATCATTGATCATCAATATCATTCAATATCAAATGGTCTCAATTCTCTTTTAGACTAACAGATTGGATGTGAAGACAGGCCATCTTTATCCAAGAAATACACCTCAACATCAAGGATAGACATTACCTCCGGGTAAAGGGTTAGAAAAAGATACACTGAGCAAATGGACCTAAGAAGTAAGCTGGTTTAGCCATCTTAATTATCTAACAAAATAAACTTCAAACCAAAATTAATCAGAAGAGATGGGAAAGGACATTACATACTCACTAAAGGAAAAAGTCACCAAGATGACATTTCAAATTATTAAACTTTTTGTGAATTTCATGTTGTGCACCCCAATCCCATCCACCTCCCTGTACCTCCATATCTACCCTCCACCCTTACACCCTCCCTCTAAAAGAAAACAATCCCCCCCTTCTCATCATGGACACTGTGGTGTGCCATACAGTATACCTTCCTCTTGTATGATCTGTTGCCCTGTGTCTTGGAGATCCTGCAGCCTTGGATCTGTAGAGCCAATTCAGAGCCCTAGATTTGGGCTGGGTGATAGCTGAGTTGGTCAGCCTGCCAGGTCTCCTGCACCCACACCACCAGGGCGAACGCTCCAGCACTTTCCCATTGGGCAGTAAGGCCAGCACACCCAAATGCTACAGCCTGTGAGGAGAGGGCCATCTCTCTCACACTGCCCAGCGTGGGGCTAGCTCTTCCTTACTCATGCCCTTTGGTGGTTCACCCTTCCTCCCTCCCTGCTTCCTCACTGCACCGGCTCTACTATACTGTTCAAGTGAGATGTGACCTCTGCTGAATGCTGTAGCTGGCAAGGGATGGATCAGCTCTCCCACTCTTTTGCTCTCGAAGCTAGCTTTTCAGTGATACACAGGTGAGCAGTGGGGCCAGCTCCCCCCTTGCCCCAGGCAAGGAGGGTTACAGGGTTATCTCTCCTGTGCACATGCTACCACATGGTTGACAAGGGGCACAGCCAGCTATGGCTCCTGCATCCCCTGAAACCACGGCCAGTGCTACTGTGCTGCCCCGGCAAGGTGTGGGACCCATTCTCCTAAGTAACTAGTACTGCAGCTCTTGGACATCAACATGGCCTTAGATGGCAGCTCAGACCAGGATGTCTGCTTGGCCTTTGGTGGTAACATGGGCCACAGACATGGACAAAGTGTCTCATTGCTGCAGGGCATGGCCCTCAGTGGCATCTCAGGCCAGGACCTCACCATGGCCTCAGGTGGGAGGGTAGACTACACATCAGGCTTTACCTCACTACCCTCATGTCTACAGTTGTGCCTTTCTTTGTTGTGCATCCATTGTTGTAATTCTCTTTCTTTTCCACTTGCTCATCTTGGTGCCGGGGCCTCTGGGTGTTTTTCTCTCTGCTCATGCTGAGTGTTGGTGGGTGTGGGTAGTCTGAGCATGACACGTGGGCAAGATACAACATTTTAACTCTCAACATCTATACCCCAAATACAAAGGAACCCACTTTTGTAAAAGAAACACTACTACAGCTGCATTTCTGGGGGCCTGCAATGAGGGACAAACAGATAAAACCGCCACCATTAGCCATTGCCCACCAAGTCCCCTTAAAGTATTAAGTGGTAAACTGCATGTTGTCCCCTGTGCTCCATTTTCTGGCCCAAAACTCTTCCTGCATTTCCAAAGGCCTGCTGGAACCAGAAATAACCAGGTAAGATCCTTTCCCTCAATCCCCTGCCTGCCAAGTTCCCCCAAAGCACACCCAACTGTGGTAAACTGCACCCTGTCCCCTGTGTTCCATTTTCTGGCTCACAACTCTTCCTCATTCCCAGAGGCCTGCTGGTACCAGAGGCAACCAGGTGGCTAAAGGCCAGTGTAAGAAAACAGCAAGAGCCAGGACAATCACTAGAGTCCAGCTATCCTACTACCTACAGCAAACCCTGGATATTCTAAACACAGCTAATACACAAGAAAATGACCTTATGCCCCACCATTCAACAAGGACATTTGCTCAACCATGTTTGTAGCAGCTCTATTCGTAATAGCCAGAATCTGGAAGCAACCCAGATGTCCCTCAACAGAGGAATGGATATAGAAAGTGAGTTCATTTACACAGTGGAATACTACTCAGCAATTAAAAACAAGGAAATCCTGAAATTTTCAGGCATCTTGAGTGAGGTCCAGAAGTGCTATATACTCATAAGTGGAGATTAGCCATATAATATAGGATAAACATACTAAAATCCATAGCCCTAAAGAAGCTAAACAATAAGGAGGACCCTAGGGAAGATGCTTAATCATTCAGAAGGGCAAACAGGATAGACATTGAAAGTAGGAGAAGACAAGGAACAGGACAGGAGCCTTCCACAGAGGGCCTCTGAGAGACTACCCACCAAGGTATCAAAGGAGATACTGAGACTCATAGCCAAACTTTGGGCAGAGTGACGGAATCTTTACAGAAAAGAGGGAGATAGAAAGACCTGGAGGGGACAGGAACTCTACAAGGAGAACAACAGAGCCAAAATACCTGGGCCCAGGGGGACCTTCAGAGACCAATAAATACTCCAACTAAGGACCATGCATGGAAAGGATCTAGACCTTCTATTCATAGGAAGCCCATTGGCCACTCAGTTTTCAAGTGGGTTCCCTATTAAGGGGATCAGGACTGTCTCTGATATGAACTCAGTGGCTGGCTCTTTAATCACCTCCCCCTGGGTGGGTGCAGCCTTGCCAGGCCACAGAGGAAGATGATGCATGCAGCCAGCCTTGATGAGACCTGATAGGCTAGGGTCAGATAGAAGGGGAAGAGGTCCTCCCCTATCAGGGGACTAGGGAAAGGGCATAAGGGGAGAAGAGGGAGAGTGGGTGGGACTGGGAGGAGACGGGATGGAGCTGCAGTGGAGATACAAAGTGAATAAATCGTAATAAATAAATATATAAATAAAATTAAATAAAAAGAAAATGACCTTATATCCAATCTTATGAAGATGATAAAGGCTTTTAAAGAGGAAACGAATACATCCCTTAAAAATAGAGAAAAATACAATCAAACAGGTGAAGAAAATGAATAAAATTGTTCAAGGTTTGAAAATAAAAATAGAAGCAATAAAGAAAACACAAATTGAGGAAATCCTGGAGATGGAAAACCTAGGTAAGAGAAAAGAAACTACAGACACAAGCACCACTAACAACATACAAGAGATGGAAGAGAGAACCTCAGGTATAGAAGATGATATAATAGAAGAAATCAATACACCAGTCAAAGAAAATGTTAAATCTAAAAATTTTATAACGCAAAACATCCAGGAAATATGGGACACTATGAAAAGACAAAACCTAAGAATAATAGGAATAGAAAAAGGAGAAGATTCTTAGCTCAAAGGCCCAGAAAGTCATAG